ACTCTCTGAATCAGATTGAGGCATGATTGTTTATTCCACTTTTTTTGCTACTATGTCTGGAATTGAAGGAACAGCTGTGGAAATGTGAGGACTTTTAAATGAGACTTTTTGTTGTTCCAAAATATGATGGATTTGATCGACAGGATGGATGAGAAAATGGAAAATATCTTGCAAAGAACAATGAATAAAGACCAAACTGCCCATGAATTGGTGGAATCAACAGAAGATTGGATGAAATGAACTTCTTAAACCAGCAAATGGAACATGAACAGGGAAAGAACATGGATCAGAAAAACAAGCAAATGAAGCAACAGCTTGATGAAGAGGAAGACCAAATAAATGGCAAGCAGGAGGAGCAGAAAGAACAGATGGATTGGCCACATCAACAAAGAAACCAAGGACTGGCGGTTTGCAGTGCTTCGGGGCAGGCAGGAATCCGCAATCGTACGCGGTTTCTGCCTGCGCTCGCCGCTGGAGTGCCCCAAGCCAGCTGGCTTCAGGGCTAAGCCACCCCGTAGAGGTGGTGAAGATAGGGGAGACCTGGCAGCGTCGAGGGGAATTGCACCCCTAAACTCCCTTTTCCGAAGGCGGTAAGAGCAGCGGTCAGAAATGGCCGCCTCAAAGAAGCACTCAGCCAGAAAAGAAAGTGCAGGAGGAAGTTAAGAAGTGAAAGTTTTTGGCTGACTGGGACAAAAAGCAACAACTAAGGTACCCTGGAATTTAAATTTTGCAAAAGATACATCGTTCCCAAAGAAGACTCGGAAGCGGCGAATGAAAGTTAAAAGGGAAAGTTTTTTTCTTTTTCACTCTCCTTCCTAACATTGACAGCGAACAGAAATGAATGAGAAATTGGAAAAACCTGCTTTGGCATCAATAGGTAATTAAACTGGATAATTAAATGTCAAGGGGATAATAAGGATTTCTGAACATTAAAAAAAAAATTTTTTCTTGCTGTAAGTGGGAAGGGAGAGGAAAAGAATAAGAATAAGATTTGGAAGGAGGAGACTGCCTGGAATTTAAAAGAATCTGATTAAACTCTAATAAGACTTCTCAAAGATACATTTTAACTGGAACTTTGTGACTAAATAGCAACCCCAAGAACAGAAAGTGAAAAAAAGAAGAACGTGTTAAAAGAAACAGCTTGTGTCTATTTGGACTGCTTGGTGACTTTGGGACTCTTGGAAATTATATCTGAATGATTAACCACTTGGGTGGTTGTTTGAAAAAAATTTTTTTACAATGGCATTACTTGTGAATGAACTGAAAATGGAATTTAAAAAATATAAAGAAGAGGAACAAGAAGGGAAGGGCTCTCTTGGCTCTGTTTTTCAATTCTTAGAAATGGCAATTTGTACCTATGAGAAACTGACTGCACAACAAGAAGATTGGGACAAAGAAGAAGCCATCTTTGATGAACAAATAACTTTCCTTAGGGAAGAAGGGGGAAAGTGGGGGGAAGAGAATGGAGACATTAAGACCCCAAAAAACAACCAAAAAAGGGAAAAATAAGGTGAAAAGTGGATATAATGTTAGAAAGCAACAGAAAAAGAGAATACAGAAGAGGGAAATGGAGGTGGAGAGACAAGGGGGTAAAAAGGGCAAAGAGAAGACGCAAGGGAGGAAGGAAGGGAAGAGAAGCTACAAAAGTGTGGAGCAAGATGTAAAGAAGCAGGACTTATTTAGAGATAATGGCTAAAAAATTAACTGAAAAAGTGATTCTGCCAAGGTACATAAGATTGTATTATCATATTTGTATTAGAAATTATGTTAGAAAATTGGAAACAACTTATGATAAAAAGTGGGATAAAATACTCAGTATAACTTAGTGAAACTTTTATGAACAAAATAAATGAAATGAAATAAATGAGAGAATTGAACCAGGAAGGAATGGGAACATTTTAATGATATAATGTTTTAAAATATGAGTGAAGTAGGGGGAAGCAACTATGGAAAGTTTATAAGTGTTCCCATAGAAGTTTGATACTTATTTGAAAAGTAATGTATAAAATGTTTAAGATTTAAATGAATACTAATATTAACAATAGATTTGAATTGACATGGCTTTGTTGTTTTAATTGTATTATATATTTATGATTTTTTCTCTTTTTAAAATATAGTGTGTAACTTTAGAATGTACTAAGCAGAATCCAAATGGAAGTTATGTACTATATTAAGTGTTATAAATTTAGGGGAAAGATATAAAGGCGTCATACTCCAATCAGTGATTACAGGAGAAATTTTGTCTAATGAGAAAAGATAATAGACAGCTGGAAACAGGACAGACAAAGAATATAAGTATAATGATCTGAATTGAGATGAAATAAATAAAATAAAATTAAGAAAGTTAAAAGAGGGGAGAAGCTATATAGAAAATGTAGAATGGTAATAAGATATTATGGTATGGTATATAAAATGAACATGAATTTGAATTTGTGTCTGTATGAAGAGATGTAACCCGGGATCAAGCTGCTTTCAGAACAGATGTTTTATGTTTTATGTTTTGTTTATTTGTATATTGTTTTTGAAAATCAATAAAAATTGTTTAAAAACAAACAAAGAAACCAAGGACTGGAGCAAAAAATAGGACTGACAAATCAGCTAATAAAGGAAAAAAGACAATAAAATAAAACAGATAAATCGACAATTGGAGAAACAGGAATATACTTTTGGTAAGGAGATTGGGACATTGGCAGATATTTGGGAGAATTAGCACCATGCGATTGTATTGGGAGGAAGGTCTAGATTGAATAAGGAAGACAAGATGAAGATAGAGATAAAGATTAGTATGGGAGGAGAAGAGATGATGGATAAAAAGAATTGCCATTTAAATATTGAAATTGCCTGATCGTAAGCTAAAGGAGGCAGAAATAAAATTACATAAGGGAAATATTAGAATATTAATGTTTATAGAATGAATAAAAATAATAGAAAGATAAGAAGTTTATAGATGTTAGGAATTTTCTTTTATGTATTTTTTCAAATAATATGAGTATTACTTAAATTTGATAAATGTGAGATTACTGATATTGTTAGCTTGAATTGGATCAATATGAATACTTAGAATTATTTTTTTACATATATAAAGTTTAATTTAAACAAGAAAGACATAGATGAAGATAGAGATAAAGATGAGGAGTTAGGTCTTTTTTAGTTGATGTATGCTTAAACAATATGAGGGTTACTTAAATTCTACAAATGTGATAGAGATTACTAATATTGTTATGATGAATTGGATTAATATGAATGATACCCAGAACCAACTCTGTTCGTACACAATATGGATTCATATTGGAAAAAAATAATAAAAAATACATCTAAAAAAATAGAAGCACCTAATAATTGTTTGTTCTGTTTGATGTTCTTTGTCATTTTGATTACTTTTGTTACTTATTGATTTTTAATAGTTAAATTTGATATATTTATTTTTATATGTGGTATTAATCAAAAGTTACCTTAAAAATCCCTGTTCAATTTTATATAGTTTGTAAATCTTTCTTTCCTTTTTTAAAATTTATTTTTTACATTTTAATTATAAGAATACAACACGGTTCATCCATTCTGGCTTTACAATTGTTATACATATATAAATTTTACTTCACCATTTACAATCCTCTTGTTTCTTACGTTATTTACTAATTATTCTAATCATCACAGTTACTTATGTTCTGACCTTGCCTCCTTCTATGCAACCACTGATAGAATTTATTCCACGTTTCATAGTACTCAGATTCCCCCTTGTTTTTTAATTCTAGGGTTAACCTCTCCGATTCTGCACAGGCCATAATTTTCTTTTCTTTTATAGCAATGGCAATAGCAATAGCACTTAGACTTATATACCACTCTGTAGTGCTTTACAGCACACTCTGAGTGGTTTATGAAGTCAGCTATTGCCCCCAACAATCTGGGCCCTCATTTTACCAATCTCAGAAGGATGGAAGCCTGATTCAACCTCAATAAAAATAAAAAAATCTGCTTTTTTATTAATTGCATTTGAAGCTATCTTTTAAAATAAAATAAAAATGTCAAATCAAACAAACAAACAAAATAGCCAGTTGTTTTTCAGTAAGTTTATGTGTAAATTAGATGTTCAATTTCAAGGAAACAACAGTCATGACACATTGTGAACAGATATTTTGATTATCATTATGCTTATTTTTCAACAATGATTCTCAGGGCAGATTTGACCATTTTGTTCAACACATTTTATAATTCCACAGAGTATTTTGTGACACAATGAGCAATCCTACTGATAGACTTATTTTGTTTAGGAATGAAAATCAGATGGTGTTTAACCAGAAATGAAAACATTCTTGTGTTTCCATCTAATTTACCTACAGGTATTGTAGATGGTAGGGAACAATGGGCCATGCAATGAAGTATTTGGTTATATATCTGAGAATCATGTATGGGTCCCATGCATTTAGTGTCCATTTTTTAAAAATGTGATTATAGTTAAAAACACTGTTAACAATTAGTTTTTAATAAAACAATAATTTAGATTCCATATATAATTATTTTATATTTTTGCATCAGTAGTAGGCACCTTGATGTTTTTCAAAACATTTACTTACTACTGATGCAAAAGTATAAAATAATTATATGAAGAAATTGTCAGGGATCGTAAGAAATGATCATATGAAATGTAACTCAAAATATATATTCCTGCTTTAGACCATAAAAGATAGCTACCTAACATTGTTGGGCTGGAGACCCTCTGGTTTATTCGGCTAATAACCCCCATTTTAGTTTCTAAGCCCTGAATTCCAGTTCCAGTGATCATATAATAGCATGATTTGATAAAGGCTTTTTTTGTGAATAATCATGACTTTAACTAAAAAGAACTTTTATTGTTTTGGGGAAAAAATGTGGACTGGTAAAAACAAAAAAAGATAAAATATAGTGTATGAGCTCAATTAGTTTTGACTCTGAGATTATTAAAATAGTAATGAAAGTTCTACTAAAAGGAATCATGATTCAAGATTTTTTTTCTTTTCTAACAGTTTCCCTGTACAACTTTGATAAGACCAAGCAGTGTATTGGCACTATGACTATTGAGATAGACTTCCTGCAGAAGAAAAATATTGACTCAAATCCCTATGATTCAGACAAAATGGCAGCAGAGTTCATCCAGCAATTCAATAACCAAGCATTTACAGTTGGACAGCAGGTTTGTGCTCTAATGGTTTTACACATTTGTGTGTTTCTCATTTAGCAATAACTTTTATATTTGATACCAAGATGCGAATAATTATGAATGATAAGTTAATGCACTTCCTTTTATATTGCAAATAATAAAAGGTCATCTGTTAGCGTATACTTATTATATATATATATTTGTAAGCTACAAACTTTTGGGGATTATTTTGGGCACTTGATGCCTAGATGTAGGCAACGTTTTTAAGGACATCACTTAAAAAGATGTTGATTGATATAATAAGTTATTTATACAACCAGAATATCTCAAGTAATCCATGGAATTCTGGAACACTTGTTGTTGGAGAAGACCTGCTTGCTAGAATCTTGTGCCAAATTTATTAGAGCAGAAATGATAAGATGCTAGGTTGACCAGTCTAGGGATGGTACAAGACAAGCTTTTTATTTATTGTAACCATTAGATAGCATAATAATTGCAATAGAAAATAAAAATGTTATATTTTTACAATTTCTTAAAATTATTTCTGCTGCTAAGTGAAGAGATCAAGGAATATATAATAATTTTCTTCTTCTTCTGTTCAGTTGTGTTTGACTCTCAGAGACTTCCTAGAGGTTTTTCAGAAATAATTTGCCATTACCTCCTTCCTAGGGCTGAGAGAAAATGATTTAGCTGGCTTTATGCCCAAGGTGATTAGTAATGCAGAATAGAAGTAAACAGTGTATAATTGGTGTTGAGTTTGAAATTGAAAAACAATGCCTTCCAGATACATTCAGGTGATTACTTCCAAAGTTCCCATTAAGTATGAAGAATGTTTGGAGTGTTTCTATAACCCAAAACTTTTTTTTATTTTGGACTATAATATCATCAACAACATTTTTCTCTACCCACAATAGTTAATAATAAAGATGGATGAATAGATAGACTGTATGATATAAGACACAACCTGATAATGATTAAATGAGACATGAAGAGACTTTTACTCAGGGATATGATATTTCAGCAATTTATGCAAGCAGCCTCGACTTACAACCACAACCGAGCCCAAAATTTTTGTTGCTAAGTAAATTTTGCCCCATTTTCTGATCTTCTGTGCCATTGTTGTTAAGTGAATCACTGCAGTTGTTAAGTCAGTAACATGTTTGTTAAGTAAATCTTGCTTCCCCATTGACTTTGTAAGAAGCTCACAAAAGGGATCACATGACCTAGGGACACTGCAATTGTCATAAATATGAGTCAGTTGCCAACATCTGAATTTTGTTCATGTGACTATGGAAATACTGCAATGGTTGTAAGTGTGAAAAATTGTCATAAGCCACTTTTTTCAATGCAATTGTAACTTTGAATGGTCATTAAATGTACTGTTGTACGTCAAGGACTGCCTGTACTTCTGCTTTAAAATTTGCAGATCAGGAAAGGCCCTGATCTTCATAGCATGTATCTTCTGGTATCTAGGATAAATCATATCACCCAATTTTGTATGTGGAACATTAGTTGTCTTTCCTGTTATATTATCTTAATGTGCATTTCTCTTTACTCCTGCAGCTTGTGTTTAGCTTTAATGACAAACTGTTTGGCTTATTGGTCAAGGACATTGAAGCTATGGATCCTAGTATTCTTAAAGGAGATTCTGCCACAAGTAAAAAACAGAAGGTAAGTTGCATAATTGAATATGCATGTAGTCTTAAGACAAAGATCATGACTTAAAAACTGGCAGCTGAACTTTCAAGTCCCAGAATTTGGGAAAGGGCACTCTTTGTGGACTTCTTGGATGCACTTTGGCCAATCTTCTATTAATTGCATCTGAATATCTCATTTAACTGATAAGCAGCAGGTTGAGGGGTTCCTAGCATTCTCCAAGAGAAATTTGGCAGAAAAAAATTGCAGTCTTGAGAACTTGATTTTCTTATAAAACAAGCTGGCATGTTAAGAAACACCCTTCCCCCAGAAAGATTAAAAATGGTCTGCAGATTTCAGATCCTCCTGATTTGGGGATGTCATCACCATGTGTCTGAAATTGTCTGAAGTCTAAACAAAAGACATACCCAAATAAAGTAATTACTTGATTTTTAATTTTTAAAGGGGAAAAACTACTATTTCGCGAACTAATTTTTCATTAAGTGAACCATGCAAAACTATCATAATCTTTGTTCTTAGACTAAGAGAATTTCATAATCAATGAAAATCAAACCAACCTTGAGAAGTTGAAGAAATAATACTGAAAATAAACACTTTAAGAAACAGCATATGACCCAATAAAACTTCTAAAAGCCGAGATCAAATCCTAAATGTCAAATGTATATCATAGAAGTGTCTAATGTTTTAAGGTAACATTATCATTAAATCAGTTTTAATTTGTCACATATAAATATGGCAAATTCTGTTTATTTTGTTCATTATTATATTAGAACTATTCTGTTCCCACTTGTGTCATTTCCCAGTTTGAGTTATGGTATTTTCTGCATCCACCTTCTGTGCTAGCAGCTGTTTTCCTTTCTAGAACCTTAGATGCCTGATCCTCTTCCTGTTTTAACGGTTTGATCAGAGAGTAGATAATCACGAATTAGTCTCCTTTGACACATGCTGCTGAAAATAGCGTGAAGGCAGAATGCCAGTTGGATTAAAGTAACTTTATATTCTGCTGTTGGCCAATTTGTTTCTTGCCTTCTGCATCTCAAGGGGAAATATTGAAAATGTCATTATTCCTAAAGGCTTTTATTTGTGTATTTTGTTTCCATGCTTAGATTGAAATTGGTCTTGTTGTGGGAAATAGTCAAGTTGCATTTGAGAAGGCTGAGAGTTCTTCTCTCACTCTTATTGGTAAGTCTAATGATGAGAAATAGTTTTGGATTCCAACCAGAAGTCACAAAAGTTATTAATCCATTTTAACTAGTCTGACTCCCCATTTATATGGGCTTAGTAGTAGTAGAAGTCTAGTTCATTTTTTCTGACCAATGAATGTTATTAAAGGGGATAAGCTTTTAGGAGCTACAGAACATCAGATACTTTCCTGAAGACACTGTTCTTTAACCAAAGGTACTAATGACATCTTGGTTTAAGAAAAACAAGAATATAGAAAAGAGTTGGTAATGATTAGATGGAAAGGAAAATTACAGTTTTTGAGCCTTTAAAAGAAGCATGGAAAAAAATTCAGTAGCCAGAAGTATATGGAGAGATGTCACCCATTTAATAATGAAAGATCCTATAGCCAGATCATGAGAATGTGAACCCAGTTACTTTTCATTGGCATTTACAAATTTTAGATACCTTTATTAGCTTAGATTCTTAGGTAAATCTACTTTAGTCATACTTCTTTGAACATATATATAAAGTGAATGGTAGTGAAATACATTTATTTCCTTTTTAAAGTGCCTTTTAGAAATTTACTCTTTTCAGTATACTAGAATATTTTTAAAATGTGCATATTAAAGAGATGCATTAGGAGGAAAGTTGGCAAAAACAAATACATCATGGGAAGTAGGTATTAAAATGCATTTGTGTATATGAGTCAGATTTTCACAAAACCAAAACGGCTGTGAAAGTCTGACTCACAGACGAACACAATACACAAGCCTGATGATGGCAGATGAGATTCTGCTGAAATGTTGCTACAACTTTAAAAGCACAACTATAATGACGTGGGAAAATACCCGAACAAAGCTGAATACCATACATACATACATACATACATACATACATACATACATACATACATACATACATACATATATTTCTTCACAGATATACTGACTGTTGTGTGTTGGCGCTGCCAATTGTTCTTTTACAGCCTCTCTATTGATCATGTACAATTGTATTCCATCCTGAGGGGTCACGACATTGATGCTTATGATCTGTACATACCTCACTTTTTATCTCAAGGTGGCATATATTGTATAGTATTCTTCTAATCTTTTCTTCCAAGCAAAATCATTATGGATGGGAGGGCTGAAAAACAACGATAGCCCTAGATCAGTGAGTCTGCCTGACTGAATGAGGAATCTAGGTTTCTCAGATCTTGATCTAACTCCTTAACCATTATATTACGTTTTGGCTAGACAATTCCTCTCTCTGCTGCTTTTTCAGATGACAAAAAGCTACATCACTGATGACCCCTGGGGTAGTCATTCCATAGAAACTGATTGAAAAATGAGGGATTTTCTACACTTTATTTTATTTGTTTCATTTGGATGTGGGAAATTCCTCTCTCTCTAACTTCTGGATTTATTATATACATTATGTCGTGCCTAGGATAAAAGGATGATAATCTAGATCTGCCACTGATCTGACATTTTAGGTTGACAGAGAGTTTATTTGAAGGATTTTATCAGAGTCTGGGAACCATCTATAGATGTTTTTATGATTACATGTTGTATGTTGTATAGCATTATAAATGTTACATTTTATGACAACTTTATATTTTAAATCAATTTGTGGTATATTTTTGAAAACTTATCTACTTAATTTAGCAGAAACTTGCATTGTTTTGTTAGTTCTACTAATTATGTTTGAATTTGCTATGTTATAACTGCTTTTTTAGATTAGAGAATGCTTGTGGGATTTGATGGTTAATAAAAGATGCATTGTGGAATGGAAAAACCGCAATTGTTTTGCTGTCAGAGTTTCAAATACCACTCATGGCCAGGATGTGGCAGTATCGAATAAGAAAAATAAAATGGAAAAACTGAGTGGTTAATTTTGCTCCTTCCTTGGAAATAACATAAAATATTGCAGCTTAAAAGCTAACCATTTACCTTAATTCTCTTAATGAATTCCCCTATGACCTTCCTGCACCTCTTTCATAGACAAGAGTAAATAGCAGTGAACTCCACTCCCCCTCAGAATCTAGACTAAACTAAGAACATAATCCTTCTCTTTCCACCCTCTAACACCTTTGATTCCAGGATATATGGCTTCAAGTCTCCATACTTTCCTTCCTGTCAATTTATACAGCCCCTCATAATCAAAGTCCTATCTGTGGTCTTGTATTTCCCCCATTATTTTTTTTATTCCTTTTTTATTCTTGTTTCCACTTTTCTGTCGTTCAAATCCTTGTAGCCTGCAATTGCCCATTCATTGATCCCTTTTTTTTTCTCTTGACCCCAAAGCCATTAGTCTATTGCTATCTAGATCTTCTGACGTGGTTATAGGGTACCATTGTCCAATATGTTGCACACAATAACAAAATACTTCAGCAGAGTTCCTGTTTCACTCCTTCTAGGCCTTTTAGAGAAACTAACATGCCAAAGGCCAGTGTAGCTTTGCATGCAAGAAAATAGATGCCAAAATGCAGCCATATGAAGTAGGAAGAATGTATGTGGCATGGAGACTATAGAGTGCTAGGAACAATGAGAATTAGAGAGCAAAAGAAAGAAGTGGTGAAGAAAACAGTGATGTAATGTACATGTGGACTCCCAGAATGGATTTTGTTAGATTCCATCAATCCTCATAGAACAACTGTCCAAAGCATTCTTCCCTTTTTCTTATCCTTATTTCTTACCTACTTTTTCTTCAGTCTTATTTGGGCTCATGCCAGCTCTTAGTCTTTTTACTTTTAATCCTTTATTTCCCCTAGATTCCAGTTCCTGGTCTGAGTCATTTATCTGCTCTTTTGTGATAATATAGTAAAAAATATTATTTTAAAAGCTTGACAGACTTTGCTATATAAATAGTGTAGATCTCAGTTCCAAGGCTTCTTAATGTTGACTGAAAAATTCTGGGAGGTGAAGTCCACACTTTAAACTAGATCTCCAAGTTCAAGAAGACTGAATTACACCAGCTTTAACTCCCTAGGTGATGTACCTTACAAATTATAGACCTGCTGAATTGGCTTTTCAAGGTAGAAATTTAATGGAAGGTAGAAGAGGAGAAGTACATTAGCAGGGTCTGAATAGATCATTAGAACTCTGAGCCATTTGCAACAGGCCAGCCAGCATTCCTGATTCCAAGTGTTGTAGAAACAATGTTCTCTCTTATCTTCAGTTATTTTATTCAAATTAAGAAAACAGATTTTTGTGTGAAGGCGATGAGCTTTATCAGTTTAAAGCACATTTAAACATAGAAAATAACAGAGTTGGAAGGGATCTTGGAGATCATCTAGTCCAACCCCCTGCTCGAGCATATTTTGGGCCCCAGAAGTTACCATGTTGCAGGAAAGAAATTAGAGTTATGGGTTAATAAACAGGCATACATAAGATGATGCATATTATTGCAGCCATTAGTATGGGTTTTTAAAATTTCTTTTCCCTTTAATATTAAGAAAATTGTTTGGGACTGATTTTTAATTCTAATTTGTTTACAGAATGGATTGGTGAAATGATAGACATGATCTAGTTTACCAATAGCTACTATATATTCTGTCTAGAAATATATAAGTAACTTTCTGTGTGACAGTTAGAATGATTTATGGATAGAATGGTTAGATATTCTGGCCCCTTGATACATAATAGCTAAATATAACCTTTCCTCCCATCCTCCTTTCATGCATTGAGAAAAATATATTTTTACCCTTTTCTAATTTCTTAAAATTAATGGATGATAATGTTAATTTATAAACTTCATTCAGATTTTTGACCGTTACTAATTACTATTTCAAATTAAGTCATTATTGGAAACAAATTATTAATGGAATCTCCTGCACTTGCAAAAAATAAGGGTGTTATGCCTATTATAAACTTATTATGCCTCTGTCAGTCTCCTTATGCCAAAGTATATGGTACATGAACTAGAGTTCGTCTATGAGGGAAATGTGGTGGATAATAAATATGAAAGAAAGAAAGAGAGGGGGTGGGGGGGGAGAGGGAGAGAGAGAGAACATTCTTTATTTCTGCTTTAACCTCAAGTTAATCATGGACAAATTTCTAGTTTGGTATTGTTAGAATATTATTCTTAGAGGAAAGATGCTAGAATGATGAAAAACACAATTGCTTGGATGACTACAGTGCTCTGCAGTGTTTTCAAACATATTTCCAAATCTATGAAATCTAGAAAATTGTTTCTGCTAAACAAAAAGAAAAATATGATTTCCAGGTATTTGAATAATCTTTCATAACTTGTCATGTGATGAGCAAAAATCAAAAGTTCAGCATGATGTATTGGTCTGTCCCGATTAAAAAATATAGCAAATCTAGTGTAAGCTCTGTGATGTATTATTATATGATTCTGTGACATTATATCTTATTATATCCTTTACTTGTAAAAAAGCAGAGAAGAATCTTTAACTATCCAACTTAAAATAGTGTTTTCTGCTTGCATGGAATTATACATACGTATATTATTTATTAAAACACAAGAAAATATAGGGATGAAAACTTGGCTAACTAAATTCTTGTTAAGTCTGAAAGATATATGTATGTTTTGTTTGTTTGTTTATACATGCAAAGACATTTTAGACAAGGGCTATATTTTCTAATATAGTGAAGTTATCAGCAGTCTTTGAATCTATTCTAAACTAAATGAGTTTGAAATAATTCTTAGCTCCTGTTCTTAATGAGATGTTCTATGCATCAGATATATGTAATAGTGTATTTGAAATTTATCATAGCCATCTGTAACAGTTCTTAATGAAATTATTGGTCTTGAATTTTCTCTTTTTTTCTATAGGCAAATCCAAAACTCGGGAAAACCGTCAATCTATCATCAACCCTGACTGGAATTTTGAGAAGATGGGTATTGGAGGTCTTGATAAAGAATTTTCTGACATATTCCGAAGGGCGTTTGCCTCTCGAGTATTCCCACCCGAGATTGTAGAGCAAATGGGTTTGTATCAAACAAAAATAAGTAGATGTTATGATATTATATGGTCCCATTGCATATCACAGAAATTACAGCCCTGCCCAAAGGAACACAATAAGGGCCAATGCAAGGATAAAAATATGGATTGAGAGAAATTGTGATCTTGCCATAGCAAGAAATGTACTAAAGATTTATGCGATAAGAAAACTAAAATATAATTTCCCCACAGCTTTAGGCTAAGTAAGGTCAATAAAAATAAAATAACCTTTTCAGTGTTCCAGTGCAACTGAAATTACTTTTTATGTAGGCTGTTGATACAAGCTGGACGATAGTATGTTCATTGCACAATCAACAGGTGCTCTAAAGCAGCGGTTTCCAACCTTTTGGGCCTCCATGGAGAGAGGTTTTCTGAAGACCAGAGGGAGTGTGATTTCATGCATTGCCTGCATCCTGCAGATGGGTCTTTCTTGTTGCATGACCCAGTTTCTGGCATGCCATGGCCCAGTGCTGGTCCATGAACTGTGGGTTGGGGCAGCTTTGAAACTTTGAAATATATTCAGTCTGCCAACATAGCCAATTCAATGTTTGCTTAACCCTAAAGTGTTTATGTAACAAGAATTAAAAATTTCATTCAGCTGAATTGAAGACTTAAAAAACTCCTCCTATCTATTTAATCACTTTCAAGTCACTCTAGGCAAATGGACAGGATTGGACAAACTGTTTTCTTCTACAAAACAATTCAAGTAACAAAATGAAGAGAAAATTATACCATTTTACTGTTTCTAGGACAGTTTCTAGATTGACTATTCTGCCAGCTTAAATGTCTGATGATCCAAGCATACTTCTTAATTAAAACTGGAAACGTGCCATTGTAATGCTTCAGTATGTTTCATTTTAAAGTGCAGTGAAGAACATGACAGAGCCAGATTGGTATAGTGGTTAAGGAATCAGGCTAGAAACTAGAAGACCATGAGTTTTAGTTCTGCCTGGGCACAAGGCCAGCTTGGTGACCCTGAGACTTTCTCTCAACCCTAGGAAAGAGGCAATGGGTAAATCACTTCTGAAAATCCTTGCTAAGAAACTGCATGGACTTTTCCAGGCAATCTTCAAAAATTATAGAATGGAAGCGAGGGGAAATACAAGATGTGGTAGTGATAACAGAGGGCAGCCATTCCTTGTTTCATGGAGTTGTTCTACCTCAACCAATTCATACTTCTTAAATTTCTGTTGGCCACTGATTGAGTTAATTTTTCAGAAGTCAACAAACTTGTGACTTCCTGACAGAAGATGATGCGGATTGAGTCTCTTGTAGCCCAAATGCTTGTTTCCCCAGACAAACTACAGTCTTTTTCAAGTAGAGAAGTTGCTTTTTTTTTAAGCAAGGTTTTCCATTCCAGTTCCATTTTCTTTTCGACAGGCCCCTCCCTTAGGCAAGAGAAGCTTATCTGAAATTTGAAGAAGAGGGCTGCTTTCTGACACCCATCCTTTTTCTCTGCATTAGTTATAACTTGCTTTTCCAACTATATTTCAGAGTTCAAATGCCAGGTTGACATCTGTTCAGATTTACTATAATAATTCATGACGGAAAAAGAGAAGAAAAAAATTTGGAGTCTGTGTATAGCAGGAGAAGATCTTTTCCCTCTCTGTGTTTTCCTTACCTTTCTCTGTTCTTCTGCCTCACAAATGAAAAATGATAAATGTGCCAGCTGTATAGCCTGGCGGGATTGATCATCTGCATTAGAGTTTGCTTCAGAATAGGATTCTATAACTCTTCCATTTGTAAAATGAAATGGGGAAAAAACAGGAATATAAATCAACTACACTTTGCTGAATCCACAAAGACATGCCTATTGTGAGGCAATAGATGTGGACTGGTAGAATTTGGAGGTAGCTTTCACCCTGAGATCATCTAGGCTACCTTTGAAGTGAATAGTAACTATTCAAGAATACAATCTGAAGGAAGAAGAAACAAATTTATTACAGTGAAGAAGCTGCATTGACTCCTCTTCCCAAATGCCAAAGGGAAGCTTATTAGTTGGATTTTAACAACAAAATTGGGAAGCTTCTGGCTTCTTTAAGGTTAATCTATGCATAATGGAAAAAGCCAGGAGTGTCAAATGATGAAATTCTTACTGCAATAAATGTAAATGTTTGAGGTATATTAGGCCTCTTCATCATTTCCCAGATTATGTGATTTTCATTGCAATTTTTATTTATTAACACAGAACCTTGAATATTTGTGAATTAAGGCCCTTAATTATCATTTCAATGATCTAGTCATTTAAGGAAATAAGGATCTTCCTATACATAATACCCAGATACATAATACATACCTTTACATAATTTTCATAGCTGCAATTTCTAGGAATGTTAATAAATAGTGCCGCACCATAAACCTGAGTTAATGAAAGCAATACCTAATGGGTAAATATTGTAATTAACTCCAAAATAGAATGGACATGTTTACCAGCTTACTTGTATCAAAGAAGTGTATGATGAAAAATGACACTAAATTTATAGCTCTGTATTTTACAGTAAACATCCATGCTAGATTTTTAAAAGCTCTAGAAAATTGCTAGCAATTGTGGATCAATGATATAAAATTTAAAATTCGATGGCTGAAAGCAAGGTTAAATGAATTGCAACCCGTCAATGTTGGTGGCCTATCCTGTAATCCTCAAGCACGTTTTGGGCTGCCTTCTCATTTCGAGCTTTTAGAAAGTTAGGCTGCTGGTGTGTCTCCTCTGCGGCTGTGATTTTGCTAAAAGCCTAAAATTACAGTAAATGAAATGTAGTTAAATAATAATAATAAAAAGCAAGCTCTCAGTCCCACTTTTGGGCTCAAGTTATGTTTAAAGATGTGCAATTTTTATTTTTAGCCCAGGGCTTTTCTCAGTACGCATTAGGAATTCTTGCTTTAATCTGATTTTCTTTTTGTTTGCATTCCATCAGAAGAGATAATTGTTCTCCAGTTTGCATAAATCCTAGAGGGTCTATTGGTTCCAATTCATCTTCTTTCATTGTCATTTTTCCTGCAGGTGGTCTTAGTTTTACTGTAGCACTGGAGGCCAATAGATATTATGCTTAAACACGTTGTAATCACTAGAAAGAGCCACTATGCATGTAGCTATTATCTTATCTGCTTTAGAATAAGTTTATTTGCTCTGACTCTAGTCATTGGATATGAGTGATATGTGATAAGAAGGCCAGAAATCTCCAGAACATGATTAAAAAATGGTTACAGGGTTTTTTTTTCAATACATTCTATAATACTGTCATTTTCACTCAGATTCAATTCATGGACCAAGGTCATGTATTTGTATAAGCATTTGGGACTTTCAGTCTGGAAAATAGTTTCCTTAACTATGCAACTTGTGGTTTTCATTTTAGTTCTCACTTGCAGTCATGCCTAAATACGAAAAGTACATTTGCTAACATCCAATACTTGCAGTATTCTCCACATCTCCAATTTGTCCTATCTTGTCTTTCACAATTGATATTTGAAGTATAATCTTCAGACATGCCTCCTTACAGAGACTCTGTAAGCTGTTACAGAAATGATGCTGTTCGAATTCTAAAATTTCTTGGCTTTCTTTCCTCTCCATGTAAATATCTGTGACTTCTGTGAGCCAAACTGTTAAAGCAGCTGGCCTGAACTTATACCCTTCCAGGCCTATTTTAACTATACATTCCATTGTCCTTAACTAGCCAAGTTATTGTGCCTAATAATTGTGCATTAACATTAATTCTTTCCCCAGTGTGGCTTATTTCTGTTATACCAGTGTCACTTAGCCATGCATTAAACAATAGGAAAAATGTGGCAGTTTGAGTGAATGGGATATTGGGAACTAAAGCATAACAAATAATCCTGTAAGTGGCATTTCAGACTGGCATTTGCAAACTAGGTTAATGATGTGGTTATCTCCTTTTAATTTGTATCAAATGTCAAACTACTGAGAATGGCATACTGACAACATTGTCTTTGGACTTTGTAATCTTTTTCTGTTATTTTGATGGGCATAAGTTTCCCATGTGAATTGTCCATTACTAGTGGTTTAGCAAATAATTAAAAACTGGTACCCTGTTTAAGGAGTGACCTTTGATCAGCAAATGAAGGTAAGCAGAGGCATTTAGATACAACCTATCTTAAGGAAGAGGCTAAGTTTTAAAAGCTGTCTGTTAACAATGCTGACATTTGGATACACTGCCTGCTTTTCTCTCAGAAGGGAGATAAGATGCAAATGCAGGTAGTGCTAGAAGAGATACAGGGTAGCTTCATTTTGAAGTTTGTCATCACCTGTCTATTTGAAAGGAAGCCTGTCTTCATGTTTTCAGAGTTTTCCATGTTAGCCAGGTGGGGACATTTTGTACAGAGACTGCTATTAGGTGCAGAGAGGTGAAAGTGTGGGGGAGGGCTCAGCTGTAGAGTGTGTGCTTTGTATGGAGAAGGTCCCAGGTTTAATCTGTGGCATCTCCAGTTCCTGCCAATCAGTTCTACTGATTTTTACCCTTGCTGATGTAAATACTAAACCCTGGGCAGCCCTCTGATAACTGGTAGATTCAGAGGAGATGAAATATGGTTCTTTGCAATAATGAACAGTTTTAATTCTAAAAGGGGGTTAGGCAACTTTATGGGAGGAGAGGGAATAGGTTCAGTGGTACTTTTAGGCCTCAGATGGACTTTCCTATATTTAGAGACCTAGTGTGATTACCCTTGTGGCTTGCTTCCATTAGAATTATTAATTAGAAAGTGTGATACTAGTCTAGGATAACTTGCATTCATATGTTGCAGCTTCGAAAAATTGTATTGCTCTTTGTCAAGAATGGTTTCAAAACATTTGTTTTTAGTGCATATTCCCCATCATAATCAAAATTTATGAGATGAAGTAGGATTTGGGGACTGGGCTGCATGTTTTGAACATGCATATGTTCCGCTGGGTTAGCTCACCTGGTCTGTGCTATCATTTCTGAAGTTTCTGGATAGCAGTGCCATTGCCCATATAGTTGGGAGACTACAGGGGCTT